CACAACAATTTTCTTGTACTTTAGGCTGAGTCAGCTGAGTTGCCTTTATATCTACTTGTCATTTTATCTGCAGTAAGGTTTTTTCACCAAATGTTATTTCTAGTATACTTTATCTGAAGTCACTTGAAATAGCATAAAAACCTTTGGTCGCCTAGAACACTGCTTCCATAGGTCTGTGGCAGCAATATGAGATACTGCATCTCTTATTGTGGCCAATAGCGATTCACTTAATTGAGGGGTCTGATTATGTTTTCTTACTTTTTTTTTAAAGCAGCCCAGACCAACTCAATCGGGTTAAAAATGCAGTAATAGGGAGGTAGACGTAATACTTCATGGCCATTTTGCTGAAGCAGATTGTCAACAACATACTCTTTTTCAAATTTTTGTCTTTTAATAAGATCCAATAATATGGCTTTGGTTGATTTTTGTGGTATTTCCATTCCCTTATCCTTCATAAAATCAATAATGTTTTTTGTGCCTGTATTCGGAATTTTGTTTTTCTGTCGGGAATGGTATGGCGCATTGTCCATAATAATCACTGAATTTGGGGAAATGTTTAGTATTAACTGCTGCTCTATCCACTTTTCAAATAAGTCGGAGGTCATGTCCTCATGATAGTCGGCACATGATTCTTTGATATTTTTGGCAGATAACAGCAAGGCATTAGGTATAAATCCATTTTCACTGCCAGCATGGAGAATAATGATTCGTTTTCCACGGTTGCATAGTGCATTTAAAATGCACTTGTTGCTGTCGTCAACCCAGCCGTACTGCACAACATCATGGGTATCATACCACGTTTCATCCAGGTAAATCAGATTTCTTTTCTGCTCTCTATAGATTTTAACTTTGTGCAAAACTTCTTGGCGCAATTCAACGATTCGAGACGACTCCATAATCACCATTCTTTTATCTAATTTTTTGTATTGAAAACCACACAGTTTCGCAATACAGTGCAGTGAGTCTAAGCATTTGTAATTATAAAAATCTTCAGGATAATCTTTTAATTTATCCCGTATCATTTCCAACGTGGGCACCAAATTTTCTTTATAAAATCCGTATATTATACGACGAATAGATATCTTCCTGAAAACCCACGTCTATTCTTTTTAATTTTTGCCCTATGCGCTTTCTGTGGAAGGAATGGTTGACTACATCTCCCATTTTTATAACCCGGTAAATGGTAGACCGACTGATTTTTGTCAGGATACAAATTCTGTTTAAAATTTGATTTTGCGAGGAATCTGGATTTTCGTTTTTCAGACAATCATACATATTTAGGATTACTCTTTGGGTCTGTTCCTCTAAATCTTTATGAAAGAATTCTGCCTGCACAGGTTCATCAACCATCTCTTCGTGGCTTGGAGTATTTTCCCAAGGTCTCCAAAGAGCTATATTTATCACACACAAGAACAATCAACACAACAATTAAATCAACAATTAAACTGAGTATTCAAAAGTCAAAAACACATAAACTAATAAAATCTATGAAAAAACACGGACAGAATAAAGAAAACACGTTTATTCACCGCTACACGGTACTGGCTAAACTGTTTCAATTTTCAGCAGCCACCTGCACTTGTTCGGAGCTCTGAAATACACGCTTTCTGGCTATGTCCACGCATAGGCGTGCTTTACTCCACGTGGACCGGTGAAACTGCCTTTGATCTTATTGATATTTGCTGCGAAATTTGGCGATTTTTGCAGCAACAGAGCGTGTTAAATATAGATACATAAAACGCACCCGGTATTTCACAGTGTTTCAAGTGACTTCAGATAAAGTATACGTAGGCATGTCATTATATCATCGTAGATGGTCTTTCATTAGGAAAAATAATGGTGAAGTTACTTTTACATCAACGGTTACGAATTTATGATTAACGTTAACGGGCCAACGTCGTTATGAAAGGCAATGGTGTAAAAACATAAAATCAATATAAAAAAATGTACATGGACAGCTTCAAAGTACACTTAAGACTCTAAAACCCCGCTTCAGCGTCCACAAAGAGTAGACGGAGGTTATTACCCCGGAGATTCGACCATGGCGCGAAAGATCAAGTTTATAATGGGTGTAACGTGGTACGCTGTATGGTTACGACGCGCGGGTATGGCAACACGAGTTTGTACGATAGGTACAGTTACCTAATTATATTTACACATCGGCTTCATTCAACTTGCTAGAATGTTCGAATGATCGATGATGGTGGGAGTAGTACCACCTTTTGTAATAGTTTGCTATATGGATTTACATCGAGCACATTATGATTAAAATTTGCATTAGAAAAGGAAGTAAGAAGTGATTGGCTAGTAGCAGCTTATAGTTCACTTTACTGAGAGCATAAGTGATATCATATCCAACAAATCCTATATATATATATATATATCAATATCAAAAGAGGAGCGGTCTTACAATCCAGGTCTTATAGAAGTTGTAGGTAGAGAAAAGATGTATGGCAAAGCTTTAATTAATAATTAATCATCGATCTATCGGCAAACAATGAAAAATAGCGTCAATCTGGTGTGTCAAAAAATAAAATTAAATGGTCCCTTAAAATAGCTATTTTAAGGTAGCAATGAAGTTTCATTGCTACCAAAATTATATACCCAAAATAGACCAACTCTTGATAATTTTAATAAGTTCATAAATCTTCAACTTTGGTACGCACGATATCATTATTTTAAGAAGCAGCATAAACTAATGATAATGAGCGGGATTTCATATCGATGTAAGTAGTTTAATAAACCTAAACATAAGAGAAACCCGGTTTAATCACAATCAACCTCATAAAATTTTGTGTACCAGAAACCGATTTACGTAACTGTTCCAGCTTCCTTAAAATGTTAACGTACTTTATCATCAACCAACCTAAATTTACAAACATAAACAAACAATCTGAATGAAATATCTACTTGAGTTTTATTAAGGTCGCTAATGGAAAACTGATAATTCTTGTTTGCAACGATATGCTAAGACCTTTTTGCACATTATATAGATAATTGTTGCTTAAATAACTAATAGTAAGGGGTAGTATGGATCATAAAATTGTTTACATTTGTTTATTCTCCTTTGATGTCTATAATTTTTATCTATTTCCACGATATGGTGATACACTAAGCACAATAAATTGTGCTAGATTAAGAATATACATTTCTTGGTAAAAAAAGTGTCATGTCACCCTCATCAGAAAAGCATCAAAGGCTTAGACGCTATTGACTGATTACCCCGTCTCCACTAAATAATATAATATAGAAGCTCAAGAGCCCTTTTCGGGAGCCATCCGACTGATTTTCCTGAAGGCGCTTCAGCCTCTCAGACTCATTGTATCTTGCTCCTCGAAACCTACAGTAAATTTTATGCATGTATTTTTTTAGGTCGTTGTGTCTTATTAGACATGTAACTAAGCGTAGTTGGTTTCTGCTCATTGAAAGCAGATCCACATCCGTTTTCATATATAGTATACGAGATGAATTCTATGTTATGCTTGCATCCAGTCACTAGGCGCCAATATATTTTTTGACTTGGTTCCCTATTGTGCTTTTTGACACTCTCAAGTCGGGCGGCGATGATCCTTTCCTTGTCACCTCATCCGCTCTTAAATTGCCTTCGTGAGCTAAATGCCCTGAAACTTTCTCCAAAACTACATTGTTGTGTTTTGCCAGTGTATTCGGTTTTTGTCGGCATTCCCAAATCAGTGCAGATGCCATTCTACAACCTTCTTAATGATTTCAATAACGCCTGAATGTCAGCGTATATGGTGACTTTTCTTAATTCTGTATGCGTCCTCATTATTTACTCTTCCGCCCAGAAGAAATATAAGAAAAAATATGAAACTCAGATAATGTCACAGTTCAATTTCTACTAAAAACCTTGAGGACATGATTGTGCGTATGTGGCTTACTAAAAAATCAAAATTACTTACAGCATAACACCAATTACGGTTCAGGTCACAAGAACATCGAAAGCATCTTGACGACAACCTAAAACCATGAATACGTAATGTTCATCATCATTTAAACATAATAACAGTCATCATTATCATTTATCTGGCCAGTAGTGTTCTAAAAATCACTGATGCCAGGTGGCCACTCGACCGCCAAAGCAGTCACTGCATCTCCGAATAATATTTGCAGAGACGCGAATAAATCATAAGTCGAGATCATGGTTGCGCCACGACCGTGAATCTGAAAATGTCAACGTCCTCGGCCCATAACCTCAACCATTGCAAACGTTATCACAGTTCACTCGCACAACGAAATTTCATTAGCATGCCTCAGTAATTGATGATGAGACAGCTTTTTTACGAAAAAGACAAGTGTTTACGCCATATATCGATAATTGCACATTATTTCAACCAGCTCAGTCATTGTCATTTAACAGGTTTGTTTTCGGTGAAAGCATTATTCAACTGAAAACAATTATGATGTGTCTACCCATCTTCGATTTTATAATAATTTTGTTTTTGGTTATCTTGTAGCCGTGACATAATAAATAATACTTTTTAACTGACATTTAGTTACAGTTTGTTGCACATGGACAAACTAAGGTTAAGTTGATGTAAAATCTTAAGTTGGCGAAAAGTACAAAATATTCCAATTCAAATTTCATTGTGATTTTAGACAAACATAGTTGTGTATGCCCCTCCAGATAAGGAAGCTAATCCAGATAAAACAGCACGGTTAAAGTAACTTAAATTGATAAGAATTATTATTTTTCTGCATATGAAATGACATTTTTTGGCACTAAGTACAAAATCGGTCTAAGTTCATATGACATAGGACCTCCACAAAAGACTCTTTTTAAATCTGGTGCGAATCCAAAAAAGCCGATAAAGCCACGAGTTTGAATATATCTTAGCCGCATCGTTCCCATTACTTCCCCACTTTCATAACTTTACGATTTTCAAGAAATGGATAGCAGCCTTTTGCTATGAAACTCCCTGTAGATATCAAGTATACTGTGGAAGAGCCACTACTAGAACAGTGTTTTTCTTTAATTTCAGAGAATTGATGAGTCACGAGAACGTTACCTTCAATGAAAACGGAACCTTAACTGCAGTGCCGGTTCATCCACTCGTCTGGGTTCCAGAACTATCTCAAGGAAGAAGAGAAGATGACTTGCTTGTCTTGCCAAATATTGCTTTACTGGTGAGTCTTCAGATAATTCTTTATGTCTAGAATCATGACCCAGCAATGGAACAGTATACATAAATTGTATCCTAATAAAAATCACATAAGCATCTTTAACCCCGAAGTACTAAATATAGTATACGTCTTACAAGTCCTAAAAAGTCTACGGTTTATGAGAAACAAGCGTTTTGACTATGAATAATTATTTATAATATATTTATAATATTTATATAAAGCGGTCCAGCCACGAATCAGTTTTAGCCCTTTGCCAGTTTGACTGCAGTATCCCTCTTGGTTGTTACATTTGATAGTTTGTTCATTAAATTTTGCGAACCGTCAAAGCTATTCAACGGCTACTGGTAATCTGCATAAGAACGCTGCACTGCTGGATCGCTTTAAGCCTTGTTCATTTTTTTTTTTTTATATCGAAACAGCCGCGCAGGCAGAAGCCTAAATGCCGGAACACCGCGGCTGCTATGATGATCCCAAAGAAATTTTATTAATACGATTTTTGAACTGCCTAAGGTTAGTAGAACTGGGAAAAGCTTCCTCCCGTAGATTGTTCCACAATCTAGACACCCTCGGGACAAAGGAGCGGTCATATCGGCCAGTTCTGGATGTACGAAGCTTGACACGGTTAGGATGGGACGCCGAAGTCAGGCGGGTCTGTCTGGCAGGCAATTCGCGCGACGGCATCATGGAAGAGAGCTCTGAGGAGCAAAGCCCGTTGGTGTAGCGATAGAAAAGAGCTATATCGCCGACGGCCCGCCGGTGCGAAAGAGTCCCGAGACTGTCTGTTAGAGAAGAGTCATCGATCAGTCGGACCGCCCTCCTCTGGACAGCATCGAGCATGGACAATGTAGTCGGGGCGGCAGCACCCCAAATGTGTGAGCAATACTCGAGGCTAGGCCTTATCTGGGCCTTGTATAGAGTGAGAAGGTCATGCGGAGAAAAGTACTTCTTAGCCCTAAACAAATAGCCTAGCTTTTTCCCAGCAGCTGCAGCTATTGAAGTGATGTGTTCGTGCCAGATCAGGTTCTCGGTGATCTGGACTCCGACCAGCCGAAATGAGTGGCTCTTTGGTAGAACTCGACCGTCCATCGAAACTGTATGAGCGCTAGGACGCTTTTTGTTCGTCAAAGTACAGTACTGTGTTTTGGAAGCATTGAACTGTACAAGATTGTTGCGTCCCCAAGCAGTGATAGCCTCCAGGTCTCTTGTCAGAGAAGAAGTCGTCGCTAGTCTTCTTTTTTCCAGCTCAGCGGCAGAGATCGGCTTGTCACTCTGAATTCCTGCATGTAGAGTGCTGTTATCAGCGAAGCTGTGGATTGGGTTGATCGTGCAGGAAAGGAGGTCGTTGATATGTAAGAGAAACAGTGTTGGAGCCAAGACCGATCCCTGGGGAACACCCGCGTTGACGTTGTGGGATGAAGAGGAGAATCCGTCAATTACGACGGATATCTTGCGGCTAGAGATAAAGTCAGCCACCCATCTGCAAAGCTTTTCTAGAAGGCCGTAGGATGGTAGTTTGCTTAAGAGGGCAGCGTGCCACAGCTGATCGAACGCTTTCGTGATGTCAAGAGCAACGACATGAGCCTCACCATGAGACTGGATGAGTTTACTCCACAGTTGCGTGACGTAAGCTAGGAGGTCCCCTGTGGATCGTTGGTGCCGGAAACCGTACTGCCTGTCGCTAATCAAGCTGTGACGTTCGAGGTAGTCCAGGAGCTCGCGATTTATGCACCTCTCCATCACTTTACTTATAACAGAAAGCAGAGCTATAGGCCTGTAGTTGTAAGGGTCGGTTTTAGATCCTTTTTTTGGGATGGGCTGTACATGAGCAAATTTCCAGTTTTCTGGGAAGGTGCCGGTTTCATAAGATATCTGGAAGAGACGCGAAAGAACTGGAGCAAGCTCCGCTGCACATCTCTTCAGTACAATGGCAGGAATCAAGTCCGGACCAGAAACTTTGTTGATGTCGAGCGACAAGAGCACTCGTCTTACGGTCTTATGCCTGAATGTTACCTCCCGCATAGTGTGAGGAACCCTTTGAATTGACGGCACTTGGGCGTTGGTGGGGACGTCCATGGTGGAGTTGGCACCAAAGATCTTGGCTAGCACTTCCGCCTTGGCCTTTGAGTCGAATACAATAGTTCCATCCTGACACGTAAGTGGTGGAAGGCTACTGTGTGAGAAGTTATTTTCAATCTGCTTGGCCAGCGTCCAGAAAGACCGACTGCCATTGCGCTGCGACATTACCCTGTGCCTAACTTTTATATCATGCTGGTTTTTGGCATTGCGAACCGCTTCGTTATATTTGTTTCTGGACTCGACGTCGGCTTGTCTGTTCTCTACAGTGGGGTTTTGTAAGTAGGTTCTGTGGGCCTTGATCTTCTGCTGGCGAGCAGTGTCACACGATTTGTTGAACCAGCCGTTGGACCCTGGTTTAGGAACTTTCACTGTGTGAGGGATGTATTCCTCCATTCCGACGTGGATAATTTCGGTTATTGAAGAACAGACAGACGGCGCATCCGCGTCAGTGAAACAGACATCTCTCCAAGGAAAGCTAGAGAAGAAGTCTCTGAGCCCCTCCCAGTCGGCATGTCCGTAATGCCAAGTTTTGCGGCCTGTGCGAGTTTCTGCTGCCACAGCGGCTTCGGACCGAAACCTAACCTCCACAACACCGTGATCTGAGTTACCCAGGGGGGACAGGACAGCAGTGCTGTAAGGGCCAGGATGCGTGGTCAGAAAGAGATCCAGCAGGCTACTGGCGTGTGACGAGACGCGGGGGAAAAAAGTAGGGCTCGTCACCAGCTGGGTCAGCCCTTGAGTAAGAGCGAACGCTTCGACTGCACGACCTGCTGCATCGGTCTTATTTGAGCCCAACCAAAGCTCATTATGGGCATTGAAATCACCGAGAAGAACTACCTCTGAAGCGGGGTGATTGATGTTCAGGAAGTCGATCTGGACGGCGAGGTATTCGAGTAGGTCATCCCAGTTATGGTTCGATGGAGAGCGATAAAGGCAGCAAATAAATTTGGGTGATGTTTTGGAGTTGAGGCGAAGCCACAGAATGTCCTTCCGGTCTGATTCCAAAGAAAGATCCCTGGAGCAGGAAAGACTGCTGCGGACAAAAGCCACAACTCCCCCGTTCTTTCTCAGATTTATAGACACCCTGGGAAAAGCTAGCGGGTGGTACTGCCTCGGTCGACTGGTCCTTGTCTACCACCTTCTTTTTACGTGTTAGTGATGTTAAATAGACATAAAGTGGCCCGTTGGCGGACTTGTACCGCCACCCGGCAATCGGTACTGAGGTATTCCTTAACGCGTGCACAATCACTTGGACGGGAAGAAGTTGTATACTGGATACAACAACTTCCGGAACAAGCATTTGCCACGGCCCTCGCTCAGTAGGGTAGAGCCTCATGTAGACGAAATTCGAGAATTAACATTTTTAAGGATAAAAGACAGTAAGGGCGTTTCATAATTAAGTCCAAGAAATGAGACTTCAACATGAAACGATTATATAGCTATCATAGAATGTGCATAAAAGCCATCAATACCTTATTGTAAAAAGTGTCTAAAATTATAGGCAAATCCTTTCGTGCACGTGAACCCGTATCACCAGATGAAATGTTATCAGCTACCTTAATATAGGTATCAATAAATAATGCAATAATACAAACTTAGAAACACATAAGAGAAGTGTATAGAACTTTTACGGAAATACAAAAACATAGTGGCACCATTCAAATCAAGCGAAAATGAAGTAAACAGGCAGCAGCGGTGACCGAAGTAGTAGACTCTTCGGTCTCCTGATCAGTCGCCGTACGCTGTGCGGGTTCGAATCCCGTCCCATGAGAAATTTTTCTCTTGGCTATGGATGTTGTGATTGTTCGTAGGTGGTAGACTGTAGACGTGTGGCGTTTCCCTTTTCCCCTGGAGTCTCCTATAGCTCCACGGTACCCCATGCGTGCTTAGGCCTTAGGCCTTAGTGGTAGTTGGAATATAAAAAAAACAAACCAAACAATTTTGGATTGCGCATACGCCATTCCGAGTTTGACAGTTTTAACAGAAAATGTTCAGACCAAAGTCGCAATAAATTGAAAGATTTCTAATATACCCGCCCGCTAGAGTTCAAATTTTGCGAATCGCAAGGAAATTATAAAATGAAAATGAAATATGAAAGATGTCACTTCTCATGTCGCTAAATTGACTAACAGGAGTATTATCTGTTTTATTCGCAATCGCGATTCGCGTCTATATGAACTAGGCCTCCAACTGGACGCCCATTTCTAAAACATGAATAATTTGGGTATCAGGCATCTTGAAAATGCTAAATGTGTCTAACATGTATATTCGTAAATGTTTTATGGTATAAATATATACAAGTTAGAAGGAATATGCTGCTAGTTTAAGGAGATCATATTTTTCTTTATTCTTACAACACTGAACGCATGGATTACACTAGTTCAAGTTCAACCAATCATTTATAGATTGATCTTGGGTATTAATGCGCATAGAGATGCAAATGGGCTATCTGGTTGACCTATACACTTATCATTCTCTGTCATTTAAATAAAATTGTACGTTAATTTGCTAAAATTACTGCACCATTCGTCCTATCTCGATAACCTTTGTCAACACGCAAATTATTTCTAAGGCTGCATCTGTAAACATATGCCTATTTAAGTCAGATGTGCATTTATTCAGCAACGCTTTGAGCATAAGCTGTCTATCAAGATCGGTATTACATTGATGGTGAAGGCATATCCTGTATTGCTTTTTTGACATAAAATTTACATTAAAAAGTTTAATTCACACGGAGATGTATGCTTTATGCGCGTTTTATGTTTATCCAGAAGATAGTGTTAAATTTAGTAGCTGTTTATCTCACATTTATCGTAGTTTAACATATTTATTTGGTATCCAGGATACTTGTCATAGAAATATATAGTTTCTGGCGCCATTAGCGTGAATAATGGATATCCGACAGAGTTCAACGATCAATGTCGAAT